TCATGGGTCTGTATGTCTTTCTGTCAATGTGCGTGTAAATTTAATTGTACGAATATGAATGAGATTTGGAGTGTGAGAATATTGAGCTGCATATGCATTCCATCACTCACGTCGCCTTGTTTCTAACCTTTTGCACGTGGTCCTCGTCTTTTCTACTGAATTTACTTCTATCAATCAATTTTTAGAAGAATATAATGATAAGCGGCTAACAGAAAAACAAAAAAAAATTGAGTTAATTCATGCTACAATTTGACTGGTGTACCGTGGTAATACACAAGTTTAACCGTATTATATACTCCCTCTATTTTAATTTGATAGTCTTATTCTGACTTTTTATAATTGAACTATTAAAATTCAAACAAAAAACTTTCATATTAATGTAGGATTAAGTATTATTCATGATTGTACCTTAAAATTTTAAAGTTGTGAGATATATACTCCATACTTCACAATTCTTACTATTTGAACAAAATTCTATTTTGAGTATCACAGACATGATATACTAAGTTTTACTATAAAAATTGCCGAATTTGAATGAATATTCAAGCTACCACAATGTAAAGTAATTTAACTATGCAAAAAACATTTGAATCTTGAGTTGATGATGATCATCATATCCAAATAAGTAGATATCACAAATCTAATTAATATCACATGCACGAGTTAAAGAGTACACATAAAATCGACAAGAATAATTAATTACCCTACGTGTGATACCCTTGATTGATAGATTCGTTCTAATAATTGACACATCAAGATAAAAATGCATAATATTACAGCTTATCATCTAGCTGTTAAAGTTATTTTTCAAACAAATATCAAAATTTAAAGCGATCGACCCCAACCAAGGTAAAAAACATGTACTATAATAACCAAAAAAAATGTTTTTTTACACCAACATAATACTTGGTATTAAAAAATGAATAAACACAATAAATAAAATAAAAAGAATTATAATTAATTTGGAATGCAAACGAAAAGGTAAAGAACTTTTAAAGATACGAAAATAGCATCAATAATAAATCTGTCACCGACCTTTGTAAGGTATTGGATATAGTAGGGGTTTAGGCAATCATCAATTGTGGATGCATCAAATCTATTTTTACTGTCTCCTCTTTCTTGCAATCATTTCTCATTTTACAGATGCACCCCAAGATTCGCACTTGTGATTTTTTTTTTGTTCACAATTACTGCTCCTCTGTCCACTCTTTTATTTTTTGTTATATACTACTTCCAATTTTTATTAATTTTAACTTTGAAATATTTTATATCTCACAAATACTATCCAAAAATTGCAACTAATAAAAATCAAAATTTATCATAATTTTTAAAAAGGATACTCCATAATTTCTGAGGAATTCACAAATACTCCATATACAGGTATAATGTTAATGAGTACATTTTCTTGCATATTATTGTTTGAAAATCTCTCCTAAAATGAGCTTAATAAGATTCAACCTCTGGCCTAGTCAGCTATACTATCCTCCTATCTCAAAAAAGGTGTTGATTAATTAGTACGGAGTATTGTATCTACACTAATTTAAGATTTATACGTCTTGAATACCTATTCGTCATGTATGGTGACTCCTATCTTTTTCTTTTATTTAATAAACGTGTACTTAGTAATAAAATAAACGGTAGACTATATAAAATGTGATTCGTGTTAAATACCAGTGTTGTACATATGATTTATTCCATGTTTATGTTCAAGAAATATGAAAGATATTTCCCCCTTATAAACTTTAAAGTTGTAGGTTACTCATATCTATTTCACCTTTTTCTAATATGAATTACGATTTACGAACTACATTACATTGCAAATTCTTATACTCCATTTGGTGTGTTTCATTTTTTTTTTTTCATTTTTTTTTTAATTTTTTATTTATTTATTTATTTTTTTTTTTTTTTAACAATATAGGTAATGTCATTGATGTGGTTCAAATATAACACCATAATTTTATCAACAACAGCAATGTTCATTCCCCAGTGAAGGAAATTGCGGAAATGCGGAGTAAAAACAAAGAGGATCTCCATTGGGCCCTCCCATGGGCCACATGTCGTTTTTTTACTATAGAAAATAGGTGAGGGGGATTGGGCCAAAAGCCTTATAACATTATGGATAGAAATAAATTTAACAACGAAATTTCTTAAAAAAAAAAAAAAAAACGGAAAAAAAGAAAACAACGAGATAATGACATAATTTAGCTGAATTGGTTTACATCATCCCTGACGATGAAGTTATAATTTACTAATCTACTCCATATGTGAATGAATAAGTTGTTAGTTGAGACTAATTACAATCATCTATTGATTGCCATTAGTTGTTTGTTAAATCCATGATAATTGTTAACACGTTGCTACTTCAAAAGTTAATAAGTGCCCTAGGGAGATTTGTTTGTAAAAGGGCTATTGAGTGTTGTATTATTACTTCATCCAACAATAATTTATACATGAATTTGATTTTAATTAGATATTATAATTAGTATTCAAACGACATATACACTGGATCCATGTAGAGGAGAATCCATCTACACATATAGTCCCACATAGCTACAATATAATTTACCGAGTAATTTGGTAATAATTAGACTAACCCATTAAATTTTCTTTTTCAATATACGACATACTCATATATGAAGTTTTCTTAACATACCATAATGAATAAGAAAATTGGCTTAAAATAATACCAATTATCAACGGTATGTGCAAAATAATACGAACTCAACTATTTGCTTTTAGTGGTATCACCTTTTGTACTATATGTGGAAAATAGTATGTTGGTCACCGAAAAAGTATCGCGAGAAATATTCCGTCTATATTTATTATTATTATTATGTTTTGTTATTAATTTTCTGTTTTCTTTTCAAAATACATACGAAGTATTATGTTAAAAATCTCTTTACAGTACAATCCAAATTAATAATGCCCCACCCCTTTGTAAGTAATTTTTTTTTTTTTTGGGTGGGGGGGGGGGATTGGTGAATGTGGGGAAATTTTGGATTTTTGAAACTAATAATATCAACATTTTTTCTAAGGCAAAACTAGTTATATATATTAACATAATAATACATTTAAATATCCTGTTTACTATTGTGTGATTATAGTAGAAATTACTACAGGTATTTTGAAAAGAATATTTAAACACATTGACAATTAAAAAAAAAAAAGCCTAACAAAGGGGTGGGGCATTATTAATTTGGATTGTAAAGGAAATTGTTAACAATTATATGTATTTAGAAAAGAAAAACAGAAAATTAATAAAATAAAATAAAATAATAATTAATTTATATACGGAATATTACTCGAAATACTTTTTAGGTAACCAGCGTACTATTTTGCACACATAGTACAAAAGGTGGTACCACTAATAGCAAATAGTTGAGTTTGTATTATTTTGCACATATAGTACAAAAGGTGGTACCGCTAATAGCAGATAGTTGAGTTCGTATTATTTTGACAGATCGTTGATAGTTGATATTATTTTAAGTTAATTTTCCTAATGAATAAGTCGATTTGTATTATGAGTACTTGTCTTGATTACTTTCCAATTAAACTTAACGGCTAAATAGAAATTTTGTGAAATTTGCACTTTTTTGGCGGCTGGTTTTCGGTTGGTATGTTTATTTTTTCTCCTAATTCCCTTTTTAATGAGTACAATAATTTTTTAAAAAAATAGCTTTACTATAAGTCAAAATAATTGCACAACAATTGAAAGTTGAAAACCAACTAAGGGAGGTAGAGGGGTCCGCAAAAATGATTGGGGACAAACAATGAAATTCTCGAAATCCAACCCCTTAAACAATGTCACATTGGTTTTAGACATAATTAGGGTTATAAGATATGTGGACCCTACTAACTAATTTTTACAATTTTGCCATAAAAAGTCATTGCCATTATTACATTGTTTGCCATTATGACTTACAACAACATGATTTCCATTTTCTAACAAGAGGTAATTATTCCTTATTTTTATATGCTTTGACATTTGCATATACTTCCAAATTCATTTTATTCCGTGATAATCCCTTTTTCAAATTCCTTTTTTTCCACCTTTTTTCTTTAATTTAATGCACACTTTATTTTAATTCATTTTAAAAAAGAATTAAATGTCAAATGTTATGATTATGAATTAATGATTTTACTCATCGTAAGGTCTTTTCAATTATTTTCGTCCTTTTAATATTATCTTTTCATTATTATTTGATTGGGGTCATTGAAATGAAAAAAAAAAAAAAAATCTTTTGATTTTGTACAATGAAGCGCTAAACTGTGTTTAGTTCTACGAGCTGGATCTAGAACAAAGGCCTGAAGTATGGGCCTCATTCTGTATTTGTCCATTATAATTTTGGATCAAGGCCAACGTTGGGTAGCCCATGTTAGGGTGTAATTGTTCAGCGGGCTGAACGTTGACAACAATCATTTCATTTTGGAAACGCTTTCACTGTGTAACGTTGTGAAATCCAAAATCAACAAGGGAGTGTGTTGAGTGTAACAGTGTAAGTGTGTAACTCATGCATCAACAATGGTTATGGACTTACGGGTGGGTTTAGTAACCTTAAACATTTCTGACATCTGACTTTGAAATTTCAAGTTAACATTTTGAAATAGCCATATAATTGAACCAATATCATTTGGGACTTTATAACCTGTAAACCTATTGGTAACCTAATCATGGTTTCAAATCAATTTATATGTATCTAAGATGTCAAGGTAAAGATTGGAACCATATATTGTAGCCGAATTTGTCAACTCAGGTTAAATGGTAGGGTTCGAGTTACATCACAGGTCGTGTTAATAAACTATCTCTAATAAGGTAAACGGTAATGTTATTACAAAATATGAATATTGGGTCAAAACAAGTCGAGTCGAGTTTAGATTTTCTCTCAGTAACTACAAATTCGGATTAGACATAATTATATGATTGAAGATTGAACCAATTTCATTGTTGGGACTTTATAACCTATCGATAAGTCTATTGTGATTTGTGATTACAATCAATTTGTAATACACCAGGATAAAACTCTTCAAGTTCCGTTAAGCACGAACAAGCCAAGTGCTGAACCACAAGAAGGTCCTCGTCCATCAAAACAGCACTATCAGCAGAATCAAATAAAAACTATACTTATTCCCAGATTATTCAAATCCAATGCATGTTCACAAAATTCCGGCAAATTCCACACTCTCATTTCATTACCATCATCATCGTTGCAAATTCAACCTCACCAATTTTGCGAATAATCCTCGAATTTCTGCTCTCTTTCTCTCTCTTTCGATTTCATCAGCTTTTACACGAAGAACAAAGTCTACCATGGCAATCGCCGGAAAAAGCGGCGGCGATGGCGGAGCTTTTACAACACTTGCAGAGAGGATGACGTTTGAGAAAGAGATTAAGAAGAGCAAATTTATTGCCATTGCTGCTCCTGTTTACAGTGAACAATCTGCTCATTCCTTTCTATCCGAGGTTCTTCTTACTTAATTTTGATTTGATTACTGTTTTTTGTTAAGAGTTGAATTCTAGGGTTTGATTGGTTTGTATTAGGGTTGTGAATTTATGCTGGTTTGATTTTGATTTCTGTGGTTTAGGTGCGTGATAATCGTGCTACTCACAATTGCTGGGCTTATAAGGTACTTAATCAGATAGAAATGTTGATTTTGTTGTTGTTGTTGTTAATTTGTGCATGTATGAAGCTCAAATTGAATGGTATATGCTGGGATTAATAATTGGTTGCTGTTCATTTGCCTCTTTAAAGAGTTAAATTCGATGCAAATTAGATCATACAATGGAGAACATGATACTTATTTATTACCTAAGAAATAAAGAGAATAAAAATGTAGATTTAGTAGTAAAATTTAGCAATTGCTATGATAACCCGTCCACCTTGCCATTCATCCATTGGTATATGCTTGATATATGTACCACAATTTTCCTCATTGCAAAAGCTAAGTTATGTAATTATTGCTGTTATATTTATAGATTGGGGATCAGTATCGATCAAATGATGATGGTGAACCATCTGGCACTGCTGGCAAACCTATATATTCAGCGATTGATACTTCGGGTGTTGATAGAGTTATGGTAGTTGTAATCCGGTAATTATGCTTCTTTGTGGATAAGTATGTACACTACTAGTGGTTTTGGTTGTTGGTGGCTTTCCAATGATATATCATGCATGTAGTTCCACCCCTTAGCTTGTTTCTTTTAATGAAATAACAGGTATTTTGGCGGTATCAAACTAGGTACTGGAGGGCTTGTTAGAGCTTACAGTGGGGTCACGTCTGAATGTCTGAGAAATGCACCAATTCGTTTAGTTAAATCAAAAGTAATGAGCTTCTTAATTTGTTTTTTCTTTTCGGACTTTATTAGACCTATAAGGAACTAAATCTGAGATGAGACTGGGCGATGTTATAATGCATCTACTTTCCTGACACTTTTATCTAAATCTTGTACTATCTGTAGGTTCCTATGGGCGTAGAGGTTTCCTTTGATCTTCTGGGGCTTCTGTACCATCAGGTTAGCTTTACTTGCAGTATTATGTCCCATTTCATTATTATTGTTAATTTTTGATGGGATTAATCCAAATTGACTATTACGGAGCATGCACTATTTTTATCTTTGATACTTTTTCGTCACTTAATAGTACTTTCATATGTTTCTTGTAAAATTATAGCTTTATTGCATTTTGCTAAAAATGTTGAAAGTATATGAATGTGTAAAGGTCTGGCTTATTAAATTTATCTTGCTTAATATTATGTTCAGAGGGATATCTAGAATTTGTGGAGTAACCTTTTATAAAAGGGATGCACGCATAGTTTAGGTATGTGGGCTGTGAACTACTCGAATACGGAAGGGATACAACTAATGTTTTGTCATCTTCAACATAAGTTAAGCAAAAATAAGTTAGTTCAACAAAAATAAGTTAAGCAAAAATAAGTTGAGTAAACAAAAGTAAGTTAGGAGAACAATGCTTAAGTGAGCTGTTAGTCTTCTTATGTTGTGAGGGAGTTTGTGTCATTGAGCGAGAAGATGAAGAAAAAGCAGAAGACTGTTCTCTGTTGGAACTGAATGCCTAGACGGAGCACAATATAGGGAGCACTTTTTATATAAATGTATGATAACTTCCTAGAGCGTCTGATATTCACTGATTACATCATTTAGCAAGGTTTAAAATTTTTATATATTAAGAGAACATGTATGAGTTGGATGAGCAAGCATATCTGTTCAGAGTTTGTATATGATAAAAAGTCATAAGATGATGTAGTGATGATTGGCCTGTGGTTCTCTCTTCATTTTGGGGAGATTTCCCATGTAACATTCAGGGCATACATTGTTTCGTTGTAATTTGTGTTTTTTTAAAGTTAATATTGGCCCTTAATCTGTTATATGATCTGTTATTTAACTAATTTCTAATGCTGTATTATGGATAATACAAGACCCATTCTTTGTTTTAACAGCTCCAATCCTTTCAAGCAGCAGATGTCAAGCAAGATTATGAAACCGGTAAAGATGATACAACAATGGTGACTTTTAAGGTTGATTTCGATAAAGCTGACAGTCTAGAAGATGCTATTAAATCTAGCTGTGGCAGAGATATTGTATTTATCAAGCATTGAATGACAAAGTTGAAAATTGCATTGCCATTTTATGCCTGACCAGAGATTGCTGGTTCTGTCACAATTCTCCTTCAGCATGAGTTGCAAAACAGCCATCAAGCATCAATGTTCTATTTTGCCACAAGCATCTACAAGTTGGTATGTACTAGGTTGCTATATATATTTATTTGATTTTTTTTACACACTTTACCATGATTTTCTTGTACATACATTTACATTTGACATGAATAAAATTTACTACCCATTCCCTGCCTTTATGTGTCTCTTCTTTGTTGGTTCCCTCACTATTTAATGGCCATTCTGGATTTGATGGGCTACTATAGCGTAAGTAAAGTTGAGTGGAGCTATACAGCGTACACTCTTAGAAATAGAAATAAGAACAATAGTCTTTCTTAGTACACTCTATAGCTTTCTCATACAAGATGAACTAAACTATGGCTAAACATAACGGCGTAGGAGCATTGCAACCCACAAGCCTAATAAATGTGATTTAGATTTTAACTATGAATCATCTAGAAATAGTATTACGCTCATAGAAAGGGTAGCAATTGACCGTTAGTTATTGGTACGGAGGTGGTCAACAGAAGGCTCTGCTGATATGGCAATTCGATTACTTAGTTACTGGTAATTTGTGCCACAAAATGGCTACTTTGATTGTGGAAGTTTGGGCAACAAAATGGCTACTTTGATTGTGGAGTTTGCGCCATAAACTGGCTTGTGTGATTGTGGAAGGCATAATAATCAATGTTGGTTGCTGTTTGTGAAGGCCATAGGGATGGAGAACCCCTTTCAGTGTAAGGAAATTTAACTTGCTTACCTTCGAGGACAACGGATTAAAATTATACCGGTCCATGTTGGCACTTTTCATGGGAACCATCATCTACACTAGATTCAAGAGATTCACAATTGATGTCCTTAGCAGACTTAAGGTTATCCCCAAAAGACCTTTTGTTGCCAGTGTCCATGTGAGTTATTTAGATCATAAATGAGTCTTGTTAGATCTATATATCGTAAAAGTTGTGTGCTTATGAGCAGTTTTTGTAGGTATCCCTTGAAGTGGGGTGGCCCAATTTGCATGTTTCTTGTAGCTTAATTACTTATAAGTGAACTCTTTATGAATTGTGACAAAGTTTATCTGTCCCATTTGTAATTTTCACGCCTCTGTCCTGTTTGTTCATCAGATTAATTTTCTTGCATTAGATGCAAAGTCTGTTGAATTAAATCTATCATTACACCAACTCTTGCAAATCATGAAATAGTATGTACCCCCTCTTTCCATTAATAACTTAATTAGTGAAAAATTGGAAATTTGGGCATAGCACGCTTATTAAGGAGACCTGTGCAATGAGGGGAGAGAGAGAGAGAGAGAGAGAGAGAGAGAGAGAGAGAGAGAGAATGGGAATATCCCATTTGATGAGGATAGAGATAGAGAACAACTAGTCAACTACTAAATAAGAATGTCATGTTTCAGTCATTTCGAAACAGCCACAAAAGGGACTTTTTTCACTTATTGGTGGGCGAAGGGAGTTTTTTTATTTTATTTATTTTTTATTTTTTTATTAGTACATACTTGTGTGATGTAATGAACAAATCCTTGTGATAGGTCGGAACCAGCAACTATGAACCATTACTGGTGAAAATCCTCACTTAGAACTACCACAGATATGATCATCTACTTACTCTGCAACTTCCAACTGAAAAGCTAAAACCAAACAATGAAAACTAGATATGAAACAAAAGACTTTATAGAATTCCAATAGCTGAGTATAATTTAGGATAGGTAGTGATAGCTTGAATAATTAATTGAATGGATGTGCAGCAATGGAAGGGATATTTGGAGTGGTGGTTGAAGCAATAAGTAACTTGGCATAGTCATGAGGAGGTAATGTAACATTAGGGACAGAGGGCATTCATGGAAGTAGCGGGAAGTTCGCCTTTGGCAAAGCAGGGGGTGGTAGGGCTTGATGGATTTGGTAGACTTGGGATATTTTGCAGTGTAGTCAGAAGATTAGCAGGCAGAGATGGTAGGATTATGGGCTTGGGCAGATTAGGAAAAATTGTTGGCAATGGTGGCAAATTTGATTTTGGTAGCTTTGGGATTGTTGGCAGCAGTGGAGAAGGCTTAGGCAATGGTGGCAATGTAGGCAAAGGAATGGTGGGCAGTGGTGGCAAGGTCGTGGGCTTGGGAAGGTTAGAAAAATTGTCTGACAATGGTGGAACATTTGTTTGTGGGAACTTTGGGATCATTGGCAGCAGTGGTGGTAATGTACCTTGAGGTTGGGCTGGAACTCCTGGTATTTGAGGGAGTTGTAGAAGATGCCCGCCTGCAAAGCTCATGTGGAGGTTAGAGATTGATAAAGCTATTAGCAGAGATAAGATGTAGTAGTCTTGAATCCATCATATTTGGAAGAAACCAAGTGAATATGGGATCTCTAAGTGTGGATGGGGAAATTCGTAGGGTGGTTGTTTTTGAATTTGTTGTCCAACATATGGTGTTGGTGGATATATATAGGGAGATCTTGATGGAAATAGGTACCAATTAACGGTGCCTTGACAAATTAAGTTTTGTGGCCAGACTAAATGTAATAACACTTGTATCATCTTTATGCAGATCCTATGTTACTTGGTCTCAGTACCCATGTCTGCAACGGCATCTGACTCGGCTACATTGTGAAAAATTCCATGATTTGAACTAAAAGTATAGTGTCCAAGTGTCACACACATGTTTGAGTCCAAGTAACATAGTTTCCTCTGTTCCCCTAATATTGCAATATGCAAAACTTGCACAGATATCAAGATGAGGAAAGAGATAGAGAAACATAGAAATAAAGACCCATATTTTAAAGGGAGAGATAGAGAGAAACCATGTGCGCACAAGGAAATGTTGCAATATTTGCAAAACTTCCTAAAATGGTAATTGTTGCAATATTAGGGGAACGGTTGATAGAAGGACCCGGTGGACAGTAAAAGAATCATTCTCTGGTATATGAAATTTGTTGTCAGGCATAAGAACATTTATACGTAAAACATAATATGACGCCAGCATTGATAAAATACTTCTAATGACTTTGTAGCTTGTAGACAGGGCTGTTTTTGTTGGTTTCAGCCTAAGGTTAGGAGAAAATGATGGTTTTTGGTTTTTTCCCCCTTGCGTTATTTTTTTTCTGTAGTTTTCCACAAAATCCCTTGTCAATGTTCTCCGGTGAAAGGTCTCTTGATGTTCTACTCTTGTGAGTTATCTGATGCTGTTGATGTTTGGAGAATACTGGAGAAAGGGAATGGGTTGGCAGCCAACCCTGCCCTTGATAAGACTAGTATATCCTCTCTCTTTGTACTTCAATCTTTGTGATAATTTGGTGAATCTTTAGTTTTAGTTGCCAAACGAAGATGTCACGTTATCATTAATATCTGGATATAAATATGATGTCAATTAGATGAGAGGACTTTCCTGTTCTCTCCTTTGATTTTATCTGTTTATCCCGATAAGAAGTTGCAAGAAGACACAAAGGGAAGAAGCGAGGGTCTTGTTCTTGAAGTTAAGGTGATGGTGAGGAGTTTTTCGCCTTGTTGGGATTAGGAGAAAGAGTAGACGATGAGGGGTATATCGTATATGAACCATTGTGACAGTTTTCTACTCAATTACTCATTTTTTTGAAGAACAAGTGTCTTCTAATGTTATGTACTCAAATTAATCAGTCAATTTTTCTTATTTTGTTCTTATTTTTGATATTTAAACAGACTATTGATTTGGTATGCTAAACTAACAAAAGTATTGATGATAAAATAAGAAAAGTTTGTTATGCCGAATAATCAGTTTCCCATTGGTTGAGTCATGATGTCCTTGACTTTGTATCAGTTGTGCAAAGATGATGATAACTAGAATAATTGATGAAGCTCTCCCTGTCCGATAAAGGAGGAGTTGAAGCAACTTTGAAAAGATATTGAAGAGGAAAGGATGTAAGAGAACACAACCACAGGTGGTACAAAGTTTGTTGACCCTCATCGGAGATCAAGAGGTACCTCTTCAGCAACTGGCGCTGACGCTGCTGCTCAATTCTGGCCAAGTGCATTCAAAGCTCCATGAGATACCCAAATTAATGGAGTAGCAACGCCAAGAGGCTTGCGTGACATTCTGAACAGTTAGTGGCACGTGAAATATGGGTTATACCGACAAAGGACAAAGTGGTCTCGCCGGCGAAACTAATGGTGGTCTTCTGCATGACATTCTTTATGTTTTCGAAGGCTGTCACACTAGCGATGGTCGAGTTGGCGTTGTCGGTGGTAATTCTGGTGGAAGGCACGAAGATTTTGCAGGTGGATTTATAAGCGGAGGTCGAGGTGATCTATTGGATTGTAGATCTCCTAGTAGACCGGGTAGTAGGCTCGGTAGCACTTGGGTGCTCCAACTGTAACAATATTTGAGTAAGGAGGTGCCGGAGGGTATGACTTTGGTGGTGGTCAAAGGTCCATCGACGAAGGTGGTCTGACCAGCGGTGAATTGTAGTGCGTTAAGAAAGAGCTCTTGAAGTATCCAGAAAGTGGTACGTACAGAAGAAGTTTGACTGAAGATCTTGCTTGCTTGAAGAGGAAGCTAAATATGAAAACACCTTGAGGATGATAATACTAATGAAGGTAAACAATTGGGATCATGTGGAATCAAAGGAGAAGAAGGCCAGCTGACCAACCCACTTCCATATGATGAGATAAATGAATTGATTGGGCCTGCTCATGTATATGCATTTTTTTCTTGTAAAAAGAAAGCGACAAGCATATGGGTTTAATGACTTTAGGCTCAATTTTCTTTACCCAACTCTTCACCCCAATAACACCATCCCCTTATTCGACGACCTAATCCAACTAACACAACATCAATTTAGCCTAATTATTAAACACCAAATTCTCCACTCAATCTTTCCCAAGTACTACTTTTCTACCCTTCAATTCGCCAATCCCTTAAAGCCCACTATTCCCACCCATCTTTTCGCCCAGCTTCCAATATCAAACCCATCATATTCTTAACTTCCATCCAAAATTAAGTCCCAAAGAATAATTTCTTCATAACCAAGCTATTGAAGGACATTCAAAACCTCACTGATGAGGAGTTTCATGGTAAGCTAAAGCAGCCTTTGGATTTTGAGTGTGATTACAAGTGGGACGCAGTTCATCATCGCCAACGTCGAGACTTAAGTGCCGACTACTATCCACCTTGAGGACAAGGTGGAAGTTCGTAGGCCCGGTGTAGACACCTAAATC